AAACAGTTGACATGCAGAAAACGCGCAAAAACACGCGGAAAAATAAAAAGACAAAAAAGTTAGCCTTTGTAAACCTATCCTAATTTCCAAGCGTAAAGTACAATACAGTATTAGTTCAATAGGTATGGCAAGTCAAAAAGCAATGAAAACCACACAGATGGGCACAAGAAAGCTTTTATGGCAAAAACTAAAAAACAAGGTGCAGACCAACAGTTTCAAATAGTCTGGCAGCAGCAACGCATCAGGTTTCGCTAAGATTCCAGTTATAGATAAATTATTTAGTTGAGCTAAATTCAGCGGATACGGTTGACATAAGACTACACCGTTCGGGTCTTATATTTTAGAGCTGTGAATCAATGTTACCTTTAGGTCGACCCGTAAAAAATCATCAAAATCTTTAAAATTTCTCTTCTGCCTTATTTAAATCAAGATCTGCAGCCTTGGGCAAATTTGAAAGTCCTCAAAGTTATGCTTCAAAATTTTTACATCATCTCAGCAGGAGCGGCGCGGCTCAGAAGGCTAACTTAATGTGTCCACATTCAAGGAGTCAAAGCGAATATTGTATAAGAATAAGGGGTACATACTGATATCATCCGTGAAATCATTTTATTAGCGTTTTGTACGATCGGAACGGCCCACGGTATCGCTGTGAACTTCTTGCCAGAAATTCCCAGTTTAACCAGATGTTAGATTTTGTTCAGAAACCTCCAAGAAAATCTAAGTTTTATAGTAGCATTCAACAAACAGGAACTACAAGAATATGAAAAAAAACTTGCAGGACTCCATGCTTTAGTAGGAGAATAGCAGTTATAGTATGAATAGTCTGTTCCAATACTTAGAATCTGGCTTTCCTGGACAACCTGGTCAGAAAGGAGCCAATGGAGTTGCTCTGGTTTCGTACCGGCAGAAAACGCCAGGGTGCATCCGCTGTCCTATGGGTCCACCTGGACCACAAGGAATTATGGGTCCACCAGGAGAGCAAGTAAGTGCATAATTACATATTAAGTCAAAGTTCAGCAATGTTGATTGTTTGAGGGTCAAACAGGGGCACCAGGTCTTCCTGGTGCAACGTCCTATCAGGGAGAACCCGGACCATGTGGTCCCCCAGGAGATCGTGGAAATGCTGGCAAGTCTTATTTGTTTATTCTGCATGTGAATGCAGGTTTTCGTCGTTGTATCTTTGATCCAATTATTCGTAGAATTTTCTTCGATAGATCTGCTCTGTTTTGAAGCACATGCTCCCACTTATCAACACACCAAATCCTTTGATTAATTTTTTTACAGTTATTCGTCAAACTAAAGCTGTACAAGCCTTATGGACAAAAATAACAATCTCAAATGTGTTCCATGGCCGTATTCATGAAAAATTTCTAAAGCGTAGTTTCGGCGCACCGCTATCTCAATTCTGGTTGATAGCGATAATGATAGAATATTGACGTACAGCTCAAAATCGCGGAAATATAGTCAAAACAAAGCAATGTTGATCAAAGTGAAACAATTAAATTTCCCGAATATAGAGTTGCTCTCCTTTTTGTGGGCAAGAAGAAA